ACGGAGTAGATTGACGGCAAGAAATGACGGGTTCTCACGCGACAGCTGCGGGGAACAACAAAATTCAAGCCGATCGTGGTTCGAGCGGAGGTTTCCGAAGTGTTGCCGCCTGAGACTTGCAAGCACCGGACCCATGACGTTGCGGCGCACGGTGGAGCAAAACAGCCAGTTTGCATGGCCGCAGCACGCGCCTCTTGAGGTGGCACACACACACACACACACACACGCACACTTGCGCTGCGCACAAAAACATAGACACAAAACAAACACAACAGTAACAAACAAAATCGCCGAGGGACCGCCTGGCAGAGCGAGCTGCCATGTGGCACTTGACCCGAGAGGCCTGGATGAGGTTCCGCCCCTCGCACGGGTCCGCACGGGGCCCCGAAGCCCCGTGGATGCGCCCAACAATCCAGGAGCACCAGCCTTCCTCCTCCGCCTCATCCTCCTCCCGGGAGTCCTCCTGCACCTCCTGCTCCTCCCTCCGCCAGGAGGCAGGCACCCCACTCCTCGAGGACCGCCACGCCAGTAACTCCAAAAACCCTCCTGCTCCGCCCGTCCTCCTCCTCCAGGGGGCAGGCGACGAGGAAGAGCAGAAGCAGAGTCGTTTCCGCCGCGGCACGTCCGATGCCTTGCGCTCAGGCGGCGCGCAGACCATCCTTCGCAGATCCGGCTGACAGCGACGAAACAAGACCTGAGGCTGGGCAGATCCGCATCGCCGTGCGGCGCTCAAGACAAATGGAACTGGTTGAGATCATTCGGGCGAGTCCTCCCTTCCGCGCACACATGCGCACTTCCAGCACTCAAGTGGCATGACCCAGATCCCTGTGGTCTCAGTACGACCTGTAGCCGCCGCCCTTGCCCCCGCCCTTGCCCCCGCCGCCGCCCCAGTCGCCACCTCCCCCGCCACCGCCTGTCTTCCATGGCCCATCGCAGGACGAGGCCGAGTACTTGCCCTTGCGGTCGTCCCATTCCACCTCGTACATGACAGCATCGCCCTCCTCGAGGTACGCGGTCCGGTCGTCCCCGTTCACCTTCCGGTGCACGAACACGTCGTCGCCACCGTCGTCGGGCGTGATGAAGCCGAAGCCCTTGTCCTCGAAGAACTTCTTGACCGTCCCCTTCGGCATGGCTGAGGTGCGGCTGGCCTACAAAACTGAATGAGCCAAAAAACGGCCCTGAGCCACAACGGCTACGGAGTAGATTGACGGCGAGAAATGACGGGTTCTCACGCGACAGCTGCGGGGAACAACAAAATTCAAGCCGATCGTGGTTCGAGCGGAGGTTTCCGAAGTGTTGCCGCCCGAGACTTGCAGGCACCGGCCCCATGACGTTGCGGCGCACGGTGGAGCAAAACAGCCAGTTTGCATGGCCGCAGCACGCGCCTCTTGAGGTGGCACACACACACACGCACACTTGCGCTGCGCACAAAAACATAGACACAAAACAAACACAACAGTAAACAAAAACAAAATTGCCGAGGGACCACCTGGCAGAGCGAGCTGCCATGTGGCACTTGACCCGAGAGGCCTGGATGAGGTTCCGCCCCTCGCACGGGTCCGCACGGGGCCCCGAAGGCCCGTGGGTGCGCCCAACAATCCAGGAGCACCAGCCTTCCTCCTCCGCCTCATCCTCCTCCCGGGAGTCCTCCTGCACCTCCTGCTCCTCCCTCCGCCAGGAGGCAGGCACCCCACTCCACGAGGACCGCCACGCCAGTAACTCCAAAAACCCTCCTGCTCCTCCCGTCCTCCTCCTCCAGGGGGCAGGCGACGAGGAAGAGCAGAAGCAGAGTCGTTTCCGCCGCGGCACGTCCGATGCCTTGCGCTCAGGCGGCGCGCAGACCATCCTTCGCAGATCCGGCTGACAGCGACGAAACAAGACCTGAGGCTGGGCAGATCCGCATCGCCGTGCGGCGCTCAAGACAAATGGAACGGGTTGAGATCATTCGGGCGAGTCCTCCCGTCCGCGCACACATGCGCACTTCCTGCGCTCAAGTGGCATGACCCAGATCCCTGTGGTCTCAGTAAGACCTGTAGCCGCCGCCCTTGCCCCCGCCCTTGCCCCCGCCGCCGCCCCAGTCGCCACCTCCCCCGCCACCGCCTGTCTTCCATGGCCCATCGCAGGACGAGGCCGAGTACTTGCCCTTGCGGTCGTCCCATTCCACCTCGTACCTGACAGCATCGCCCTCCTCGAGGTACGCGGTCCGGTCGTCCCCGTTCACCTTCCGGTGCACGAACACGTCGTCGCCACCGTCGTCGGGCGTGATGAAGCCGAAGCCCTTGTCCTCGAAGAACTTCTTGACCGTCCCCTTCGGCATGGCTGAGGTGCGGCTGGCCTACAAAACTGAATGAGCCAAAAAACGCCCCTGAGCCACAACGGTTACGGAGTAGATTGACGGCAAGAAATGACGGGTTCTCACGCGACAGCTGCGGGGAACAACAAAATTCAAGCCGATCGTGGTTCGAGCGGAGGTTTCCGAAGTGTTGCCGCCTGAGACTTGCAAGCACCGGACCCATGACGTTGCGGCGCACGGTGGAGCAAAACAGCCAGTTTGCATGGCCGCAGCACGCGCCTCTTGAAGGGGCACACACACGCACACTTGCGCTGCGCACAAAAACATAGACACAAAACAAACACAACATAGACACAAAACAAACACAACAGTAACAAACAAAATCGCCGAGGGACCACCTGGCAGAGCGAGCTGCCATGTGGCACTTGACCCGAGAGGCCTGGATGAGGTTCCGCCCCTCGCACGGGTCCGCACGGGGCCCCGAAGCCCCGTGGATGCGCCCAACAATCCAGGAGCACCAGCCTTCCTCCTCCGCCTCATCCTCCTCCCGGGAGTCCTCCTGCACCTCCTGCTCCTCCCTCCGCCAGGAGGCAGGCACCCCACTCCACGAGGACCGCCACGCCAGTAACTCCAAAAACCCTCCTGCTCCTCCCGTCCTCCTCCTCCAGGGGGCAGGCGACGAGGAAGAGCAGAAGCAGAGTCGCTTCCGCCGCGGCACGTCCGATGCCTTGCGCTCAGGCGGCGCGCAGACCATCCTTCGCAGATCCGGCTGACAGCGACGAAACAAGACCTGAGGCTGGACAGATCCGCATCGCCGTGCGGCGCTCAAGACAAATGGAACGGGTTGAGATCATTCGGGCGAGCCCTCCCTTCCGCGCACACATGCGCACTTCCTGCGCTCAAGTGGCATGACCCAGATCCCTGTGGTCTCAGTAAGACCTGTAGCCGCCGCCCTTGCCCCCGCCCTTGCCCCCGCCGCCGCCCCAGTCGCCACCTCCCCCGCCACCGCCTGTCTTCCATGGCCCATCGCAGGACGAGGCCGAGTACTTGCCCTTGCGGTCGTCCCATTCCACCTCGTACCTGACAGCATCGCCCTCCTCGAGGTACGCGGTCCGGTCGTCCCCGTTCACCTTCCGGTGCACGAACACGTCGTCGCCACCGTCGTCGGGCGTGATGAAGCCGAAGCCTTTGTCCTCGAAGAACTTCTTGACCGTCCCCTTCGGCATGGCTGAGGTGCGGCTGGACTACAAAACTGAATGAGCCAAAAAACGGCCCTGAGCCACAACGGCTACGGAGTAGATTGACGGCGAGATATGACGAGTTCTCACGCGACAGCTACGGGGAACAAGAACATTCAAGCCGATCGTGGTTCGAGCGGAGGTTTCCGAAGTGTTGCCGCCTGAGACTTGCAAGCACCGGACCCATGACGTTGCGGCGCACGGTGGAGCAAAACAGCCAGTTTGCATGGTCGCAGCACGCGCCTCTTGAGGTGGCACACACACACACACACACACGCACACGCACACTTGCGCTGCGCACAAAAACATAGACACAAAACAAACACAACAGTAAAAAAAACAAAATCGCCGAGGGCCCGCCTGGCAGAGCGAGCTGCCATGTGGCACTTGACCCGAGAGGCCTGGATGAGGTTCCGCCCCTCGGACGGGTCCGCACGGGGCCCCGAAGCCCCGTGGGTGCGCCCAACAATCCAGGAGCACCAGCCTTCCTCCTCCGCCTCGTCCTCCTCCCGGGAGTCCTCCTGCACCTCCTGCTCCTCCCTCCGCCAGGAGGCAGGCACCCCACTCCTCGAGGACCGCCACGCCAGTAACACCAAAAACCCTTCTGCTCCTCCCGTCCTCCTCCTCCAGGGGGCAGGCGATGAGGAAGAGCAGAAGCAGAGTCGTTTCCGCCGCGGCACGTCCGATGCCTTGCGCTCAGGCGGCGCGCAGACCATCCTTCGCAGATCCGGCTGACAGCGACGAAACAAGACCTGAGGCTGGGCAGATCCGCATCGCCGTGCGGCGCTCAACACAAATGGAACGGGTTGAGATCATTCGGGCGAGTCCTCCCTTCCGCGCACACAAGCGCACTTCCCGCACTCAAGTGGCATGACCCAGATCCCTGTGGTCTCAGTAAGACCTGTAGCCGCCGCCCTTGCCCCCGCCCTTGCCCCCGCCGCCGCCGCCCCAGTCGCCACCTCCCCCGCCACCGCCTGTCTTCCATGGCCCATCGCAGGACGAGGCCGAGTACTTGCCCTTGCGATCGTCCCATTCCACCTCGTACCTGACAGCATCGCCCTCCTCGAGGTACGCGGTCCGGTCGTCCCCGTTCACCTTCCGGTGCACGAACACGTCGTCGCCACCGTCGTCGGGCGTGATGAAGCCGAAGCCCTTGTCCTCGAAGAACTTCTTGACCGTGCCCTTCGGCATGGCTGAGGTGCGGCTGGCCTACAAAACTGAATGAGCCAAAAAACGGCCCTGAGCCACAACGGCTACGGAGGAGACTGATGGCGAGGAATGGGGAAATATGGTGGTGGATGCCACGGCAATGAACACCCTAACAGTCCTATCATTGAATTTAATTTGTGTTCGAAATATCGTAAAACGGTTCGCAACATGGATTAAACATGCTTTTACATGTTTTATGCATGTTCAACACATGTTTTGGACATCTGGAATTTATTTGGCAACATGCTTCCTCTCCATTG